GCGGGCACAAATGGGTCCCCAGATGGCTGGAAGCGAAGCGGTATCAGCGGCTTGCGCGCTTGCGCTCGGGCACCCCCCCGCGGCCCCCAAAAAGCCGCACCCCACAGGCCACTCTTGCCCACGGCCGCTGCTGCGTGCATGGCCGGTCAATGCCCCGTTGCCTCTCCAGGTGGGCCCGCGCCGCCGGCCGCCTGGGAGGCCGCCCACCTGGCGTTCGCGGTCGCGCTGGGCGGGCTGGCCGGGGGCCCCGACGGCGACGCCCTGCTCTCCGCGGCCTTCGGGCGCGCCTGCTGGGAGCGAGCCGCCGCGGGCGCCAGGCCGGAGCTGATCGAGGAGCCGGACGGGGCCAGTCAGGGGGCAACGATTGGGGGAGAGGGCGCTGGGGGATACATCGACCCCTAATCGCCCATGGATCGCTGGTAGGGGTCTGATATCCCCACTCCGCCCAGGAAGGAACGGTTTCCCTGTATGGGGGCCTATCGCCGATCTGTCGGCGATGTATCGCCGATTCCAGGTCGATGCTTCCCCCCCTATTCCAGCTCCCCCCCCTGTCGTTGCCCCTCAGCCAGGGCGTCACGAGGAGACAGCCGTTCCAGGGCGTGCCAGGGCGCTCTCCGAGCGTTCCGGAAGCGTTGCAGAGCGCTCTGGGAAAACCACGGCGACCTCCAGAGCCGCCGGATCTCAGAGATGCCCGATTTGTCCTCCTCCGACATTATCCTGCTCCTCCGCCTCCTCCTCCTCCTCCTCCTCCTCCTCCTCCTCCTCCTCCTCCTCCTCCTCCCTCCTCCTCCTCCTCCTCCTCCTCCTCCTCCTCCTCCTCCTCCTCCTCCTCCTCCCATGGGGGCAAGAGGGGGGGATGGGATGGGACCCCCCTCCATCTTGTGATCGAGGAGCGGTCTCAGCTGTACCTCGCGCACGCCGCGCGGGCCCTGCTGGGCAGAGGCGCGGCGCACTCCGCCGCGCCGCCGCCGGCGCTGCGCGGGGCCGCCCTGGAGGCGCGCGGTGCGGGGCTGGCACGACTCGGCATCGCTCGGACGTGTGCAGTTCTCCTTCGGCGAGGACCATCGAGGAGCATCCTTGATCGTTTGGCGAAAAGCCACGCACGAAACCGAAAAAAGCACAGGGAATGGACGTCCGAGCGATGGCCAGACGAGGTGAGGGCTCTCTGAGAGCTCGTCGTGGAGTTTCGTGGATTTCGGTGATGCGTTCGAAGGTCTCCGGCGGTCTTCGCCTTGTTTGTTCACGTCTCCGAGGGGTCTCGGAGGCTGGCGTAGGGCGTCGGCTTCCTGGGGGTGTCCCGAGGGCCAGGGTGTGAGTCGTTGCGGAGCGCTCCAGAGCGCCCTCAGAGCGTCCACGAGCGTTCTGGCACGGCCGCGGCGCCCGATGTACATTCTCCCGAGCCGCCGCATCTCGGAGATCCCGGGTGTGTCCAGCCATCCGGCGCTCCAAGCAGTTTGATGCGCGGACCCCTTGACGTCTGGACCACTCCCCTGCAGGCGGTCTTTCGCCCCGTGGGCCGAACACGGCCAAGCACCAGACGTTCCCCCTCTTGCTCGGAGCCTCTGATCTCTGGGTCCTGGTCCAGTTAATTATGTCATGGTCGGATTCGGACGAATGGGTCCTTTGCAAAGGGGGTCTCAAACATGTGCGCAGTAGGTCGTGCAATCATTCGTGCGGGTGCGCACGTCGTACAGTATCAGCACGTGGCTGCCACGCGCTATGCGACACAGGATGAACTATTGCATTTTCTCTGCGACCCCATTACGAAAGACACTCCTTTGTCTGGAACCAACTGGGCGACAAAAGAAAACGGGGTCGTTTGCGTCGACACTTGCGCGTAAGCTGCCTGCATAATGTCGCGTCTAAGCGCCCTGGTCTCCAAAGTAGCGTGCCGCGGCGGCGGCTCGCGTAAGCCACCACGTAAGGTGGCTATGCCATCTCGCGTAAGACCCGTTTTCGATCGTTGCTCAACTGGGTCCTGCCCAGGCACCGGGCCCCTCCCATTTTTGTTTTGATGCGTGCGCCCCGGGTGCCCCAGACCACTCCCCCAGGGCCGTTTCTGTCGCGCTCTCCCGAGGCCCAGCGAGTGCCCCTGGAGGCCCAAAGCTGTCCCAGAATCCCGCCGCTCCAATGTTCTTGGAGCCCTGAGATCCGACGTTGCCCAAAAAATGCAACATCGCAAAAAATCACGACCAGACCCCCGGACCCCATCTTTCTGCGTGACTTTTCGAGCCGGATCGATATATGTGAGGGTCCCAGGGCCCGAACTGGAGCGAGAACGCCCGGCTCGAAGATGGTGAGTCGCCAGGATCTCAGGGAGCGTCGGATGGTTGGGTGGTCCGATTCTGTCATGGCCCTAGCTTTAAGTCGGGCATGTCCCCCTACAGGGGGATTTTCGACGAAAAAATCTCCAAACATAATCAAAAAATAATCCAAAAATGGTCTGGGGAATATTTTTGAATACCCTTTGGCCATCTTGGATTATGCTTTATTTTTCGTCGAAAATTCCCCTGTACGGGGACAGGCCCGACCTAACCCTGGCTTCGTCTCAGGCGTGCCGGGCCGCCCTGGGGCGCGCGGGCGCGGCCGGGCGCGAGGCGGAGTCCTCGGCGGCGGCAGCACAGGTGGCCTCTGCGGTGCGGGCGGCGGCCCGGGGGGCCGCGGTGCTGTGCGAGGTCTCGAGCGCGGGTGGGGGCTTGAGCTCGGGCGTTGCTATAGAGGTGCCCCTGGCCCAGGATTGTGTGGCATCGTCGGGGAGCCTCGTCTGTCCCAACAGGTTGTGTCTTTTCTGGTGCCCGGCGCGGGTTCGTAGATTCCGCTCGGGTTGTGGATTCGACGCGGGTTCGACGAGTGCACCACGGATTCGAGAAGGAATTGGCGCGGATGGCCTCATGATGTTGCAAGTTATTTGAGCCTTGATCACCGGCAAGAGTTTCGAGCGGCAAGGAGTACCGAAATTTGATGTTTCTCACGTGCCGGGCCCTGGGAGGCGATACTCGTTCGACACTTCGCTAGCGTGTCGCGTAGACACTGCCTCGATACCTGTTATGCATGCTCGAGGCCAGTTTCTGGGATGCGGCCTGTGGTCCTTGAATACGATGGGAGCACCATACCTCTGGCCACCGATGCTCCCAGGTTCTCGCCCCATTCTGGAGCCCCTGGGCCCTCCTCGTCCTCGTTGGGGGGTGCTCGGCAGGCCGTGGGGGCACCTCGGGCCGGGGGCACTTCTGGCAACGCCCGGCGAGCGCGGACATCGTCGTGCTCCTGGCCCCGAAAAGTCGGGGCTCGCGTCGACCCCTCCGATGCCACTCGGCGCCGACTCCGACGGGCCCGAGTGCCGATCCGATGCGCCTGCGGGTGCCGGTCAGGCCTCCGATGCCCCAGCGGAGGCCTCACTAGCCTAGACCGATGTTTCCGCCATCGTGCGCCTGGCCCCTCGACAAGCGGTGGACAAGCAATAATACTCAGGAGGGAGAAACACACACAGACACAATTAATCGTCGACTCCCCGGAAAATATGGGAAAAGATGGGAAGTGGGGGGGAAGACAAAACCCAGAACAAAAATTGAAAATATAGGGATTCCTGTAATTTGTGTGTATTTATTTGTGTGTTTGTGGGCCCCTTCAAATATCGACGTAAACTTTCGGAAATCCGAGCGGCTTTCTCGGAACGGCGCTGGAGTTCCCTGGCGGCGCCTCCGGTGCCGACCCTGGCGCGCTCCGCGTGCAAGGCAGGGGGGAGTCCATCGCGGATCCGATATGGCCGCGCAGATTTCCCAAAACATGTTTATGCCATTGTTCTTTGATGAGCGAGGACATCGTCGTGCTCCTGGTCCCAGAACAAGATCGGGTCGTTCGAAATGGGTACGAAATAATGGGTACAATATCGAAGCATGTCTTGCCCATTTTGAACGTGGTTTTGGAGAACCTTTGTTGTTGGGCATCGTGCCCACTTGTTCCGTACCCCTCCCTGGCGCCCATGAAGGAGGCCTGACCGCCGGGCATGCCGACGGGGATGCGGGTGGAGGGGCGAGGCTGCGTCGAGGGAGCGCGAACACGGAGCACGGCGCGCGGGTTGGCGACGAGTCCTGTTCCGTAGGCAGACTCGGCGCGCTCCGCGGCCAGAGCAGATCAGACGGCTTCGGGGGGAGCCTTTCTCGGGCACCGAGAGAGGCTGCCCGCACGGGCAGGTCGGCTGCAGAGACCTGCACGGGCGCACTCGGCATTCTGGTGTGCGAGTGCAGTGGTGCAGCCCCTGGTCGGTTTCGCGGATCGTCGTGCGTTTCGCCAGATACATTCGATTGCTCTGGACGTCGACACGTGGTCCCACCAGGGTGCTTCGGAATGTGGCGCCGCGCGCACCTCTGGAGTGCCCCAGCAGTTCCCTCCAGCTTCCGTTGTCCTGTGTCTCGTACCTCGACTGGAAAAGAGTGTGTACACCAGTCGGGTGCGGGGTCCAAGACAAGCTGGTATCCAATGGCGGGGTCGCTGTGCTCTTTGCTGATGCAGCTTCCTCAGTCGGCCAGGGGGTGGGGGCCTTGTGCCGCCTCTGGTGGCACCCCCTGCCGCTGCCTCCCGTCAGCTGCGTGTCCTGCCAGTACCGCCCCTGGCGGCCCCTGGAGTCGCGCACTGGGAGGCGCTTGATCTCTGACCCCCTCATCCTCTCGGCCACGCGCAGAGGCGGAAGGGGGAGGGGGGATGGTCTTCTTGAAGCACCCCTGCTTCTTAGAAGGCGCGGGCCTTATCTGTACATGCAGGGCCTGCGCCGTCTATGAAGCAGTCTCCTTGAGAAAGAAGCCTTACCCCTCCCCCTACTCCCTTGTGCGCGCCTCCAACCTTCTCTCCTGGGTATGGGTGGTCTCCAGGCTACACACTGGGCAGGTGCCCCCTCCGCCACGGCGCGTCGTCGAGGGAGGGAGGCGGGCCGTGAGAGCCTGGGGATGGGCGGCGGAGCCGCAGCGCACTCCCGTAGAGGCGTCCCGGGCCAGCCGCCTTCCGAGGTGCAGCAGATGGCGAGGTCGATCACGGACCCCGACTACACGCTGAGGGACTTCAACGAGGACCCGGGGGCCGCGTGTCGGGCGAGGTGGGCGAAGGTTCAGAGGAGGGCAGGGTAGCCCCGTCTCCGCCTGTTTGGGTCTCCTGGGAGGCCCTCGTCGCCACGGCCGGAGTCTCCGCGACATTCTTGACGCTTCGTGTACCCCCACCAGCGACCACCCTGGTTCTCGCACTTCGCCGACGTCCGGGGCTTCGCCTTTGCATTTTTCTTTCCTGCCTCAACTGACGGTTCGTTGGCCACGGCCACCCTGGTGCCCACGCAGTCGTCTGAGGTACGGTATCGTGCTTTCTCTCTCGGAGTTGTCCCTGGCAGTCGTTGACTTTCCGACTTTTGGCGCCTCCGACGGACTTGCAGCTTTGCACGCTGGCAGTTCCCCTCAGTCTCAGTCCCTTCAGCCACCCACCTGCCGTTGGGCCGCTGCGAGGGGCCTCGGCCGGCGCGTAATTGTTGCCTCGCGCGTCGCCTCTGCTTTAATTTTCTCGCGCTTCTTCTGCCTAGTTAGTCTCGGCGTAGCCCGCTTTGACCTGACTCGCCGCCCGCGCGCTCGCCCGCGGCCGCTGATTAGAAAATATCCCCACCAGCTCCGGTTCTGCCGCGTCGCCGCTGTGCTTCGCCTGTTCAGTTTTCCGCGTGTCGCCGGCGGCTATTGCCCTGTGTTCGGTTCTTGCATTCGGCCCCTTGGACGGCGCGCAGCCTTCTGCGTCGCTCGCGAGCGCAAAAACATCCCAACCAGCCCAACCAGGCACGAGCGGGGGTTTTGGGAAGGCCTCCTGGAGGCTATCGTGGGCCATGTTCGGCTAGAGGCTGTGAGAGGCTGTCCTGCGCCATGCTCAGCTATCTTGGGCCGTCTTGTGGCTGTCATGAGGCCTCGCCGAGGTATGCCGGAGGCTATCTTGAGCTGCGTTCGACCTCCAGGAGGAGGATGAAGAGGAAACATAAAGATGGACCAGGAGGGGAAAAGAGGAGGAGGAGGAGGAGGAGGAATTCGGCACGAGGATGATGATGCTGATGCTGCTCATGATGATGATGATGATGATGATGATGGTGATGATGATGATGATGATAATGATGATGATGATGATGATGATGATGATGATGATGATGTTGATGACGGTGACGATGATGCTGAACAGGAGGAGGAGGAGGAGGAGGAGGAGGAGGAGGAGGAGGAAGGAACAGGCAGGAAAAGACGAGGGAAGGAACGGACGATGACAATGAGGATGAGAAGTCGGGCTTTGGATATATGTTATTGTGAGAGGGTTTTGAAGGACGTCAAAGGCCATCTTACGGGCTCTCTTGCGGCCCCCCTGGGCCCTCTTGGGGACCTCGAGGGGTTCAGTTCGGGGGTGTTGGGGCCTTCTTGGGGTTCCTCGGATGGGGCATGGGATGCCTCTTGGGGCCATGTTGGCCCCCACGAGGCACAACATAAATTCACGCACCTCCCATGAGAGGCTCAACGATGACGTTTTGGGGCCCGCTCGGGGCGCTTTGAGGTTCCGTTTGGCCCTCGTCGTCACGGACGTAGTCGTCCCGAAATTCAATCACAACGCACCCCACGAGAGGTCCAGGGAAAAGCGGTGTCCGTACCTTGTCGTTTCCCCAAACATGGGGCCGTGTGCGTCTACACGGCTCCCAGATGGAGTTCCGAGTGGATGGGGTCGGATGATCCCGCCGCATCACCGTTGCATGTGCGATGCGGTCGATGTGCAACCCGATGTTCTCAACGCCGACGTCGCCGATGCATTGCTGACGTCGCCGATGCATCGCCGATGCTTCGGCGATGCAGCGGCGATGCGGCGCGAACTTCCAACTTCCTCCATTCCGACCCCATGCGGGAGGCCTCTTAGTGTCAGTTGAAGTGGACGAGGGTGAGGGAGGATAAGCAAATGAGAGGCTGCGGGAATTGCTGCTGGCATCGAGTCTAGGCTCCACCATCGAAACAAAAAACAGTCCATAAGTCATAAAGTCAAGCTGTCGGAGGTCTGCGCGTTTTCTGGGGGATCGGCGCCGGGCCCCTCTGGCCGGCACCGTCCTTGGCACGCTCCGCGCGCCAGGGAGGGAGCCAGCGTCGATCAGAGAAGTCCTCGCGGACCTCGGAAACGCTGTGTTGATGCCGTTATCTTTGTTTTTACCAGGCGTTGTCTTCGACGCAAGAAGGCTTGTTAGAGTTTGGAAAAAGGCAATTCCATGTCGCTGTCCCGCCGCGTGGGTTCGCCCCGAGACGAAGCATTGCACCTGCGGGTGTCATGGTGAGAGTCACGACGGGCGCCTTCGTTTCTTGATGTCGGCACCAGGGGGCCGTCCTCGGGTCCATTGGGCTGTCAGAAGAAGATGCCCGCGACGCGGAGCAGGTTTTGGTGTGGTGTTGATCGACAATCGAGGTTTGCTCGAGGATCGAAGACCAATCGAGGATTGAACATCGAGTTAGATCGAGCATCGAGGTTCGGTCATGGAGCGAGGATCGACCGAGGATCGAACATCGTGGTTCGAACGGAAAGTTGGGGCCCAGGTCTTGAAACAAGAAAACAAAGCAGAGGGCGTTGTGATCTGCGACCCGCGAGCCTGAAGAATTCGTTCCACCCTCAGGTCAGGATGCAACTCCTGGAAGGTTTAATGCAACATTGGCGCTGGTAACTCCGTGGTCAAAAACCAGCCGAAGTTGGCAAAGTCCCGCTCGACTCCGCTTAGTCCCGCTCAATCCCGTTCGTGGGCTTAGTCCAGATTAATTCAGTTGCAAGGGCCCCTGAATCGGCCTTATAGCTTTTACTCGTTCTTACCAGGACATCACCGAAATTAGCTTCTAACTCAAGAGCGTTCCAGAACTTTCCAGGTCGGCCGTGGCACCCTGCAATTATGTTCGGCATCCCTCGGAGATCCTCGAGTCCTGGGGCGCGTTTTGGCAAGAACTTCTGTTGCAAATCCAGCCGTGGCCACGAGGAGCCCCCTCGCAAGGTTCCCCCCTCGTAAACGTCCAAGCGCTTGCCCGGCTCGCGTCCCTGGAGGGAGGAGGTGCGACACCACCGCCAGCAGCGGACCACCTCCAGCGAGGAGGCCCCAGTGCAGCCCTCTGGGTTGAAGATGGGGGTGCCTCGTGCGGGACGCGGTGAAACAAGGGGACCGCACCTCCAGGAAGGCCCTCTTTCGGGCCCCGCATCCGTCCTCGCCTCCCCCTCCCTCACCTTCTCCCCCTCCACTTCGCGTCCTGTTCGCCGACTGCGCGGTACCCAACCGCTTCTCCAGCGCGCCGAGGGAGCCAAGAGGCGCGCGTTTCCTCTTCATCCCCCCCCTGCAGCCAAGACGCTGAAATAAAGACCGCTCTGGGTTCGGAAGGGGCTCGCTGTTCCTTAGGCCCTTTCGTGGTGGTTCCCATAGCGCCCCTCTTGCACCCAGGCGCCGATGTTGCCGAAAGGCGGCTTCGTTACTTGCCATCCCGTCTTGCAGCAGCCCGACCGACGTGTGTTGTAGAGGACTTGGGAGCCACCAGCGGACCCCATTGTGGGATGCGCAAGCACACAGGGGCAGCGGCGCAGATTGGAGGAGGAGGTGGCGGATGAGCAGGAGGATGAGCTGGGGGAAAAGAAGGATGATGAGAAAGCAGAAGGACGAGAAGGAACAGCAGCAGCAGCATGAGCGGGAGGAGCAGGATGACCGGGGGAAGGCGGGGGAGGCGAAAGGATCGTGGCGACACGCACCCTTTGAGTCAGGGCGAGAGCGCCATCACGAACGCTGGGAGCAAAGTGCCGATGTTAAAATGAGGTCTTCGCTGCAGCGGGAGCGCCATCTGTGAGACACCGGGAACGTTCGGATTTATCTGAACCGCATGAAGGATAAAACTATCCAATCAGGTGTGTGAGAAACAGTGCACGGGGCGATGGGGGCGGGCGGCTCCACTTCCATCTTCTGGGGAGAAAAGAGAGTAGTTGCCACCTACATGATAGAGAGAGAGAGAGAGAGAAAAAAAAAAAAAAAAAACAATAAAAAACAATAGCGATAAGCATAGATGAAGAGAGAGAGAGAGAGATACAGTACTAATGTGTATATATATGTAAAACATGTAAGCACATTTTACACATATATATAGGTAAAGTTGGCCTCCCAGATACATATATATATATACATGTATTTATACATATATATATATATATATATATATACATATATATACACATATATATATATCGGTAAAGGTGACCTCCCATGGCTAGCGGGCGCGGAGGTGCACATAGTCATGTTTTCCGCCGTCGGGGCCGCCTGCCCCTGGGCGGCTGGAAAGGTTGCACCCCTGCGGTTTGCACGCAGGGCATAAACTTGGCAGACGCCCTGCGGCAGACTCCCCCACAGCAGGACAGTTCTTACGGTATTCCGTTGTCCGTCTGGTAGTAAGCGTCCTCCTCCTCCTCGGCGGGGGTGGGGGACGGGGGCCCTCGCCGATCGGCGAGACAGTACATAACGAGGCGGTGGGTGACTCTCGCGGCGACCTGGGGCCCGCAGATTGGAAAAGCGCATCGTCGGATGTCTGGGAGTGCTCGGCGTCGTCGGCGTTGGGAGTGGCAAGGGCGGGGGCACGAGGGCTGTGGGCCTCTACGGAGCGCCAGCTGTGGGAAACCCACACGCCTTGGCTCAAATCGCTGGCCACAGGATCCACAAGAGTTGAGAGTCTCTGGTGGCCGTTCGGGCCACCACTCGGGCCCCTGGCAGCCCTTCGCGACGACTGGCACCTCCAGACTGCTCTCGGCGGGGCGCCGCAGCTGCATGACCGCAGCCCGAGGCAGGAAGACCTCGAGGAGCCGACGATCGCGAACGATAGCGTCCGACGGCTTGGGGCCCGTACAGTGGAGACCCATGCCAAGAAGCACCCTGCCTGCCTCCAGGGTGCCCTGGGTCTCTTGGGCTTCGATGGTATGGCTACGGAAAGCGCGACGTGCCCACACACCAGAGATCGACGGACGTGCTGGGGTCTCGGGTTTGGGTTTCTTGTTGGAGGTTTCCTGTGGACCGGCCTCCACTGTATTAGGGGAACGAAGGATGACATAAGCAACAAACACCCTGAGGTCCGCGCGGATTTCTCGGATCGGCGCTGGGGTCCCCCTGGCGGCGCCTCCAGCGCCGCCCCTGGCGCGATCCGTTTGCCAGGGAGGGGGGTCCAGCGCCGATCCGAGAAATCCGCGGACCTCCGAGTTTATATGCTTATGTCATCATTCGTTCCCCTATGTATCCCACAGGACCTCTTGGCCTTCCCCGAGCTCAACCTCTACCTCCTGGAGAAGCTCGCCGGCATAGGCGCCCCGGGCACCGCCGGCGGCGCCAGCGGCTCGGGACACGCGCCCGCTGCGCTCCCACGGCCCTCGAGGAGGAAGAGGAGGATGATGAGGAGGAGGAGGAGGAGGAGGAGGAGGAGGAGGAGGAGGAGGGCCAGGGGCCATAGGGAACCCAATGTGCATCAACAGTGCTAGAGAAACGAACAATGAAATAGACATAAAAACACTGAGATCCGCGCGGATTTCTCGGATCGGCGCTGGATCTCCCGCCGCGCCTCTAGCGCCGCCCCTGGCGCGTTCCGCGCGCAAGGGAAGGGGGTCCAGCGCGGATCCTAGAAATCCGCGTGGACGTCCGAGGTTTTATGGTCGCACCCTCCCGTCCCAAGTCCCCTCTTTTCACCACCCACCAAACCACCCCAACCCAATCCTAAGGCTTCAATTTGTCCTCCATTGCCAGTGGGGGGGGGTCGGGGAATTTAGAAAGAACACAGATTGAACCCGTACCTCTCCCAACCCGAAATTCGGGTCTTCGGGTTGGGTTGGGGTGGTCTGGTAGGTAGTCATCCTCACGCGAGTCCCTACAGGCTTTTTCTTGCCACTCCAACCCGCGCTCCCCTTTTGGAAAGACTGGTACCCAACGGGTCTGCCATTCAGGCGGGAGCATTGGTTTTGACATTGGACGTATTTTTGTTGCCAGCGCGTAGTGCAGAACGCGCAAAAGAATGGCACAGTTCTACTAGGTGTCTAACGATATCTTCGTTTTGACAAAAAGTGCGTAACGATTGCACAAGATGTCACTCATGGCTGCGAGCGTCGAGGAAGCTCCAAGCCCAGTTTTGAAAAAGAAGCGCCCTCCATATGTGCAGACGCACTATATTTCAAGTTGTTGGCTGATTATGTTCAAAATGTGCGAAGTGCTTGCCCAATTTCGGCAAGATGCCACCGTTCATCCGCGCATGTATTGCATCTGTTCAGGTTTCCGTTTTCTCGACGCAGAGTTGTTCCAAGAGAAACACCGCGCACGCGAATTGCTGCGACCAGGGCGGCGAATCGTCGAGATCACCCTGCGTTTTTGTTGTTTTCAAGATTGTCAGCAGGGCCAAGGGTTGAGCTATTCCAGGCGGCGGGACGATTCATGCAGGGGGGGGTCGTCTGGTGGGCATTTCAACAGACTTGCGGCGGAAATCAAATCTACCAGAAGGAATCGTCAGCGACATTATTCCCCACGTTCCGTTGCACGAGCTCGCGTATCGAATTTACCGCGGGGTGCGCGCCGTATTTCATTCAGTCGGCAACAGGCTTCTAGCGTATCTCGAGTTTTTCTGGGGCACCAAGCTGCGCGCCGGGGCACATTTACTTTTCCAGTCGCGGGCAAACTGAAGGAGCTCCAAAGGTGCGGGCAGCGTGGGCGCGCCCTAGGGACTATGTGAATGGCGCGGCTGTCGCTTATACGTAGGGTGCTTGTTGGAGTGGCATCGGTCGTGGGAGCGCAGGCGAGGATGAAGAGAGGATGCCTTCTTGGCGGACGGCCGCTGGGGCGAACAAAACCCAGGAAACGCCGCAAGAGACTCAACCGTGGGCCGCACGGCGATTAGATGTGGACCCACATGCCCACGCACGTCCAGCAGTTGCGCCGATTCCGTGCAGCCCCAGTAAAGAAACGCCCAGCGCGCGATCCGGTTGTCGCGCAGCTGCGCCCGCAGCACCAAACGATTGCGCCAGACAGCGATCAATCTTTGGATGGCGCGCAAGGGCGCGAACAGGGCCACCGCAGAGGAGGTCGCCTGGATTGTGGCACATCCGAATTGGCGAGGGCACTCAATGCTGGCATGCGGCACTCATGCAATCGATCGGGGCGACGACGGGACGACATGCTTGTTGGCCGCAGCTTATGCGCGGCCCCAGCGTCATCTTCAGCGCGGCCGTCTCCAGCGCTGCGCAGGCTGTGACATTCCACATTTCTGGATTTGTCATCGGCGCTGCACGTTGGCATGGGTCGGCAAGAAATTCCACGCGATTGCGCGCTGAGTCACGACGTCGCATGCGCCGCCGTTCTCGGCTCAAGAGGCACGGGAAATCGTCGGTATTTTTTGTCGACGGTGCCCCTGGTAACTGTGGCGAACGCAGTTGTTTCAGATGTGTCGATGTTGTTTGCCTTTGATTTGCTCCCCGAGCAAAACAGCCACGCACCCGCCCCAGCGACGCGCGCATCTTTCGCGGCTGCATCTTGAGTCTCGCGCGCATCACGCGAGGATCAGTCTGGGGTTAATTCTGGCGCCCTTTGTTTTTTGTTTAGGATGGGAACGCTTTGCCGCCCGGCTGGGCACTCGACTTGCTCGGCTGTTCTTTTTTTCCTTACGCGCGCGCGCAGTTTTCGAGCGCAACCTCCCGAAGCAAATCCCGAAGCAATCCGATCTGCTCACCGAGTGGCAGACATAACGCGCGCTTCGAGTCGCGGAAACCGGGTCGACTGGAGTCGCTCGCGCTGCAATTGTCGATTTCGGCTTTTGCGCGCAACGACGCCGTTCGGAGCATTTCCGAACTCGGGGCGCCGGCCTGCCAGCTCGCGCGCGCCTCCGCGGACGCTGCCGCGTTCTGATTGTCGTTCCGAGCGTTCCGCCATCAGACTGCCGCGCCGCGCTGCGTGTTCTGACTGTCTTTCTGATATGCGCTTCCGCGTTCAAATTCGCCTCCGCGCTCGGTCATCCTGTCTGGCCCCCCCCCGTGCTCAGATTGCACTTCTGGGCGGCCCCGCGCGCTGATTGCGCGGCTCCGCGGTCAGATTGCTCTTCTGGCAGAGTCCGCGTTCGGGCGGGTGTTTCCGCGGCCGGGAAAGTTCCCCGCACCTTCCCGCGCTCGTTTTGCCGCCGCGCGCCGATGGCGACGGCCGCGCGCCCCGCTCGCCGATATCGGCGCATTTGCGCGCCTGGGTCACCGCCCAGATCTGCCGCCCATCTCGGCCGCCCGCGAGGCGACGCCCTCCTCCGCGGAGCGGGGCCCGTTGGACAGGCTGGTGCTTTTAGGCGAGCTGCCCACCAGCGCGCGACGCGCGATCTAGGCGGCGCCGCTCGCGCGCCGCGGTCCGCGCGGCGCTATCGGCGCAAGGCACAGGGCATGAGGCGCCATCTGTCTGGCGCAACCAGCGCGGCGCAGTCCACGCGGCGCGCGCGCTGGCCAGCGCGCGAGGTGGCCACGGGATGCTGCGCTGGGCGAAATCCCGCCCAGAAAGCAGCCGGAAAGCAGCCGGCGCGCGCGGCGGCCGATGGCGGGCGCCGGGCTAAAGTTGGAGAAGCTGGTCAGTCGCGCGGGGGAGCGACGGCAATGTTTCGGCGCAAGCGCGACGCGTGGAGTCGACGGCGAAAAGGCTCGCCCCAGTTGGGCGCCGCGGTGCACAATGAGTCCAAGCACGCCCTTGCAGCAGCTCGCAACAGAGCACCCACGCAATATCAGTCGCCGCGCAACCGCTCTGTCACGACGCGCAACTGACGGCGCGCCCCAAATGATAAAGCCCACCCCCTGGCGACGGGGCGCGTGGACTTTGCCCCGAGCGAGCGAGCTCGGCGAATGGCCGACTCCGCCCGCCGCGGCCACCGCCGCCCGCAAGGCCGAGAAGGGGCCCCGATCGCGGACGACCCCGCCCGCTGGGCGCCCTCGCCGCACAGTTTGCTCCTCCAGGCTGGATGCGCGGCTTGCAGGGCCCTCGCTGCGCGGCGGGCGCGCGGCAGCGCGCCCGCCCCAGAGCCGCGCCGCGGTCGTTGCGCGGCGCGCGGCGCAACGCGCGGCGCCCCAGCCACGGGGCGCTCTGCCCGCCGATGGGGCGTCGCAGGGCCGCGTCTGGCGCGCGCCGACTATCTAATATGAAGGTCCATCGACGCTCCCGGCAACCACGCGATTCATGGGGAATTGCGGGCGTATGAGGGGATTTGGCAACCGACGGGGCGATGGCAGAGGAAACAGGGATTGTCCCACGAACCGAGAGCAGATGATCCTGTGAGCCCGTCGGGAACGCAACCTTCTCTATTATAGCCTGACGGTATTTGTTTAATGTGTAAGACGATACAACTGTGTCATCGTAAGCTTCAGTGAGCATGTGCATATCATGTATTTGTACCATCTCTCGGATTTCGAATGTTTCAAACCACGGTGCGCGATACATGGCGACATGGCATTCGACAGACAGCCCAAGTTACGAAGGTACGGACACGTTTAGACCATCAAGGGGTGTAAATGGTTCCCCTCTCCGTCTGCTTCGCTTGTTTCCTCAATTTCAATGTTTCCATTCACGCAGACACTCTGAGTCTATGCAGGAGGATGTGGGGGGGGCACACGAGGAGGGAAATGGGCAGATGCGGGAGATGAGAGGGCGAGAGATAGAAGGAACAGGAGGGGGCCAAGAGGAGGGTGGATGATGGAGACGGGGAATAAGAACAGGAAAAACACGGGTGGGCTGAGGGGGACAGGGAAAGGGACGGTTGAGGACATTGAGGCGTGAAGGGAGTGGGTCAGACGAATGATACAGTGAAGGAGGACGACATGAAGGAAAATGAGGAGGAGGAGGAGGAGGAACAGGACGAGGAGGAGGGGGGATTTCAGTTTGGCCAGCGAGTGTCTTGTCATGTTCACTGCCCCGAGTCTACCCGCCCCGAGTCTCCCCGCATGTTCATTCCCCCTTTCCGGCGAGGATTCCTCCCTTCTCGAGTTTTTGCGACAGCCTTTTGTCTTGTCGCCCCCAGGGTTTGGCAGCAGGCAACACATTTCGAGCGCCCTTCAGGAACTTGATATGTGTGTGAAAGTGTGTGTGTGTGTGTGAAAGTGTGTGTGTGTGTGTGTTTGTGCACGTGCGTGTGTGTGTGTGTGTGTGTGTATGAGTGTGTGTGTGTGGTGTGTGTGTGCGTGCGTGCGTGCGTGCGTGCGTGCGTGCGTGCGTGCGTGTGTGTGTACGTGTGTGTGTGTGTGTGTGTTTGTGTATGTGTGTGTGCGTGTGTGTGTGAGTGTTTGCGTGCGTGAGTGCGTCCGTGCATACGTGCGTGGTTCGTGCATACGTGCGTGCGTTCGTGCATGCCTGCGTGCGATTTGCCCAGGGTAGACTTTCTGATCCCCCCTCTGCAGGGTCGCTCGAATAGGTGCGGCCTTCAGGCGTCTGCGTGCTGATATTGTTTCATTTGAGAGTTTGAGACATCTCAGAGTTTTCATGTCAGGCGGTTCCTTCCCCGCTCCTCCGCTAGGACGGGGCCTGGGCGACGAGTACCAGCGGACCTTGGGCGCATTCTTTGCGATATATTGGCTCCTGAGACTGCCCGTGGACGGCAAGGACTCCCGCCTTCGGTCTCTGCCCCCCTCCGGTTGAGGTTTGGATGCGAAGGATCGGGCAGTGCCGAGGGGGGTCACCATTAGGGAGCGGACACTAGTTCCTCACGAGGATCGAGGTTCCAGGATCGAAGCTTGAAGAGCCTTTTGGATGTTTGGGGATGGTTTCGAATGCTCTCGAGGGTTCTTTGGGGCCCACTTCTAACGTAAATGCAGCTTCCTCGAAGAAGTGGCGACCCCTCCCCCAGTGTTGACTCCCCGTAGCACTGCCCCAGAGGATGTGCGCAGGTCGTTGGGACCTCTGGAGGGTCCCACGGGACGTTGTTGCCGTGGTGTCCGGCACAGCCTCCATTTTCTCAGATGCCAGCCAGCGTGGGCCCCAAACATTGTGTGCTGAGCAATAGTTCCCTCTTCCCGCTCTTGCACGCTGCCCGATTTGCTTATCGGTGCCCCCGTTTAGCTCTATCGCTGGAGCAGCCAACTCTGGCTCGCCGCCGACGAGCAAGTGTTTAGCAACATGTAGCGTGCAATGTATGTGCAGCAATATATGTGGTGTAACCTACGTGGTGCAACCTGTGCGTTGCACTATATGTTGCGCGGTAGATGCTGTGCAATCTATGTTCGGTGCAGCCTATGCGGTCGTATGCGCGGGTGGTGTAACCTTTGAGGGACAACATGTGCGGTGCAGCCTATGCGGTGCAATCTATGCGGGGAGTTATGCGTTGTGCAATATATGCGGTACAATCTGCGCGGTGCGAAACATGTTGTGGAATCTATGTTGTGCGATATATGTTGTGCAGTATGTGCTGTGCAACCTCTGTCGAGCAACATGTGTGGTGCGAACTACGTTGCGCAATCTATGTGGTGCAATTTGTGTAAAGCCATCGGTGTGGTACAATACCTGCGGTGCAGCATGTACGGTGCACTTTGCCATGCAACCGATGTTGTGCGATCTATTGTGTGCATTCTGTGTTGTGGGACCTATACTGTGCGGTCCATGTTGTGCAAAGTATTAAGTACAACCCTATGCGTTGTAATTTGGTACAACGTATGTCGAGCAATAGATGTGGTGCAGTCTTTGCGGTGCAATCGGCGTGGTGCGATTGGTGTGCAAGTTATGTTGTGCAAGCTACGTCGTGCAATATATGTTGTGAAACCACGTTGGTCCAACGTATGTGGCACAATCCGTGTGGTGCAATATGTGGGGTGCAGCCTATGTGGTGCGATCTACGTTGTGCACTACATGTGGTGCAACGTACGTGGTGCAATTTGTGTGAAGTAATATATGTAAACCATTATACGAGGTGCAATATATATGCGGTGCAACCTGTGCGGTGCAATCTATGTTGTCCGATCTATGTTGTATTATAGTTGTTTTACTTATGTTGTGCGGCCCACATTGTGCATTATATGAAGTACAACCCTACGTGGTGCAATCTGTGTGGTGCATTCTATGTGGCGCAATCTACGTAGTGCAGTATATGTGGTGCAACTGATGCGGTGCGATCTATGATGTTCAGCACACGTTGTGCAAACCACGTGGTGCAATAGATGTTGTATAGCCTGTGTGGTGCAGTCTACATTGTGCGATCCGTGTGGTGCAATAGATGCGGTGCAGTGTATGGGATGCAGAATACGCGAGGCGGCGACGGGGATGCGACGGCGACGACATAGCCGCCGGACCAGCACGCAAACGCCGACGCGGCGGCGGGGCGGGGACGGCGGCCACGAGGCGGCGATTGGGCGGCGAGCGACGACACGGCCGCCGGACAGGCACGCAGGCTCAGCCCCCAGTTTCTCAACAGAGGAGTCACAACCCCTGAGTGCAAGCATTGTTTGGGGAGTTAATATTCAGTCTGGCACGTCCCTCTACAGGAGGAATGTTCAAAACTAGTTTAAAGCAATAGCTGGGGACGTTTTGTTAAGTATGTGTTGGGCATGTGTTTTAAGCATTTTTTTGTATTTTTTACTGGTCGTCCAAAAACCGCCTGTAGGGGGACATGCCCGACCTAAAGTTGATAGTAGCTGAACCAAGCCCCGGACTCCATTTGTAAGTTCGCGGCGCGACTTTGGGGAGCGCCAGTCGTTTCGAACAAAAACGCTCACGTTTGCAAGACGCGGCCTGGGCGCGAATATGAACATTAAAATCGGGAGCGCGCGGCGTGGCGTCGCTCTCTGTCTGTTGTGTTGAATGCAATGGATGGGCGTGTGTTCCGAGAAAGTCCGTGGCGCGCTCCCGTCAGGCGGGGTTGCCCATAGGGGTACAGTACGTACCTCGAGGAACGGAACACTTGCCCAAACGGAAGCGGTCGGAGGGTCCGCGGGGTTTTCGCAGATCGGCGCTCTCAGCCCCCATCCCCGCATACCCAGGCGGCGCCTCTGGCGCCAGGGGAGGCTGGTCAGTGCCGAACCCAAGGAACCCATCCAGACGCCCGAACGGCGACCCCGCCGCCGGCGTTCAACGTGGAACGCCACCGGCGAGCCAGAATCGGTCGATGTTGATCGATCCCCGCGGTGTCAGGAACCAACGCCGAAGTCGGCACGATACGAACTTGCCGCAGATGAGGTCGGAGGATGTTTTCGCATCGTCAATGCATCGACGATGCGCCTCGATGTGGAGCCAGACATTCTCCGCGCCGACGGCGCCGATGCATCGCCGACGTCGCCGATACATCGCTGATACATCGCCGATGCATCCGCGATGCATCGGCGATGCATAGGCTCAAGAGGCTCCGAGGATCACCCCAAGAGTCCCGGACGATCCCAAACGATCCAAGGGAGTGAACACCCCTACTACACAGGACTGCACATCCCTACTACACAGCTACTGCTCAGCCGCAATGTTCTGCTGCGACTCTGGCTCTAGGAAGGGAAAGTGCCAGTGCACGAGGTACAGGTGCCGCGATAGGCTTGCCGCAGGTGCTGGTGCAGGGTCGAATGAGCTGACCCTCGCGAGCATCGAGGGTCTGCTGAAGAAAATGATGGTGGATGAGAGGACGAAGATCAGGGAGACCATACAGCAAGAGGTGGGTGTCATCAGTACAGCCTTGAACGGGCGTATCGACGATGTCGACAGGAAGGTCATTGACGTCGAGAAGCGCACCACCCAGCTCGAAACCACTTTTGCGTCCGTGGAGACGCAGCTTGCGGCCAGTCGTGCGGGCGGGACGGGTGGACCACCGTGGGTACCAGCACATGTCGACATCAAGGGTTTCTGCACGTGGGAGGAACGCAAAGCCGAGGGCATCAGCAAGCCAGAAGCGGTTAACCTGGCGACTAAGTTGATCGGACTTTTAGGAGAAGACCTCAAGCCGCATGTGGGCGACGCGCGGACTCGATGACAGCGTGGACACCAAATCAGAGTTCCTATTGCCGATGGGCACGCGGTTCTCGTGGCAGATATTTGGCGAGATGTCCTCGCGGATGAGGCGAACTGTTATAATGGTGGCATCTAGCTATGGGCTCAGACCCAACGCCCCCCCCAGGTCCAAAAGAAATACTCCATGACAGGGCAGGTCACGGACTGGGCGAAGACCAAAATCCCGCCATTTCACACGGTGCGGACGTTTTGGTCTCCAGATTTTGCTGTGTACGCGGGGGCGGGGATAAGGCCGTCTTGCCCGCGACTACCTCGGAGCACGGGCCAGAGTGGGACAGCGACGGCCTGCAGCTTCTGAACATCAGGGTTTTCGCCGCGGCGCACCACCAGCTGCGCTGCTTCAGGCGCGGCCTGCATTAGGACACTTCTGGAGACTGCATGCCAGAAATCGTTGGCACGTTCACCGCAATGTCCTGGAACATACGTCGCAAGTCGCATGAGCGCCTACGTGCCATCACACAGGCTATGAAGGCTAAATCGTTTGGGTCGGCTGTGGTATGTCTCCAAGAATGCACGGGGTGGGTGGACGGTAGTATTGCTAATGGTTTCGTCGTTTTCAACGACACACGCAGGCAACCCAACGGGGACACCACGAAGGGCGGCGACTGCGGTTTCCTCGTCCCGCCCCGCCTGGTCCCGTACGTTTCGGACGTCGTGCATGGTGACTGTTGGAGTGGGGTCCTTATACAGAAAACCTTACTCTTGTCTTCCCATTGTCTCGATCATACCTCAGAGAATGGCGTCTCCTCGCGCATTATCCACGTATCTCAAGCCTACGTGCAGCGGCGCAGGTGTAGGCACCGCGGGATTTGTTTGCCCTTGGTGGCGGTTTTCGACTCGAATGTTTCTCCTTGTCAGTTGAGTCGCCGGAGCTTCTGGATCAAATGTGATGCCGAAAATGCGGCCCCATTCAGTGGCAATTGAACCCGTCGTGTTGACTTGGCTGCGATCCCGACTCTCAACACATTTGGTATATCGCGAGTTCCTGACGAATCGTGGACTCGCGGGAGTCGCCGGAACATGTCGAAGAGGTCCCAGATTGAATGCGTAGCCACGTCTTCCAATATCGAAGGCGCGGCGCATGCTATACGACGCCTGCCCCAAGCATGGGAGAAAGGTTTTGATCAGCGACCTGTGGTCGCTGAGCTATCGGGCACTGCCCCATTTACATTCCCAGGCCCAGTGGAAGATCGTTGTACTGCTGGCGACCGGCCGACGACCTCGCATTTGAATCATTCGAACAGGTTGCGTCTCTCCCGGGTTCCTTGAGTCTTCGCTGGTCGACTTGGGGGATCGATTGCGGCGTCGTGCCAAGACCGCCCGGCACGTGATGGGCCCGACGTTGCCAGGGCGGTCCGCCGAAGACAAGCAGTTGCCAGCGCTGGCAACGGGGCGGCCGCCCGTCGCCAAGCGCGCGCTTTGCATCCATAAGGATTGAAGAAACGCAGGCAACGAGCAAATCAGAAGCTGAAGACGTCATCGCTGTCGCGGTTATGGTGCTGCACGATGCCGGCGCGTTTGCTGCTGGATGGGCGCCGTCGAACAGCGGTTGCATTATGCATGTCGGTTTGGGCGGGCTCGCTTCTCCGACGCCGACAACGCTGCCGGCGAACATCTCGATCGAC